TTACTCTGCGAGCCAGCTTGGTATTCTTGGTCTTTTTACGTCGAAGGATCATTTGCTGGAGGCAAACGCGTGTTTCGCCGCGATGAGAAAGATATTGTCTTTTTCTTTTTTTTCTTTTATTTTTTTTTTAATTTATGATTCTCGATGAGGAAGAATTATTATTATTTATGGACCATAACGAGCTTAACCCATTGCGCTGGCAACTGATTCGCGGACCATAACGAGCGACCGAACCGTATACAATAATTCTCGTTGCTTCCTTTTTCTTTTGAAATCGTCGGTATGTTGTCACTGGATAGAAATTATTGAGGAGTAATAAAATTTATTATTTGTTTTGCCTGGATTGTACTTAAATGTACTTAAAATACTTGCAATTTTGGGACGAAAGATTGCAAGAGGTTGAAATTATCGCAAGCTTGGAAGTTTGTTGCAGTGTCGTCCTCTTCGAACCAATTATTTAACATTATTTATAATATATATTTTTGTTGGATTATTTGAAACGAAAGATATTTTTGCGAAGGCTAGAGAGATCACAATAATGCGAAGAAACGAACGCAATTTCCTCGAGGGCTGTATAAGAATTTACAAGTTCGTAGCTACACTATGAATCTTTATTTTTCTCAGAAAATTCTTTCAATTCTCTCCACTTTCAGTGGAATTTATTATCCTCCGCGAGGGAAAGAATGTCGCTTTCTCTTTTGCTCGTCACCAAGGTTTTAATGAAATCAGCATAAAGTCGAGATTAATTAAATGAAACACGCGAATCACGTTCGAAAAAAGAAAACACGGCAACACGAATTTTAAGGAGCTCGGCGATGCTCTGCGATTATCTCGTCGGTTATCATTCTCGAATTCGTTTCCGACCGACGCGAATCACCAGAGACAAAACTGGGTTAGATAACCGGGAAAGGGAAAATGGTCGTTTGAGGCAAAATGGAACGTCAACGGTACAGCCGCTGGTGGCGTTTCTCGCGTTAGTCGGCTCTCACTTGGCACGATTGTTCGCGCGATTCTTTTGCCTCCGTGGACAGAGATACTCGCCGAACGAGAACGGGGAGCAGGGGAGAAAAAAAAAGAAAGAAATGCTGTTTCAGTATAATGAATGTCGGCTGGCGAGTGTGTCGCGTTCGAGGAACGCGAAACAAGCGACGCCCGATAAACGAACGAATTTGTCAGGCTTGATCCTCGATCCTCGACATTTGGTCGAGCAAAATCTAGCTCGTGAAACACGTAAACGCGTTTGGTCAGACATGAAATATAAATATTTTCAGATTGGTTCGAAATCTTCTTAATTACAATCACGCATGAAAGATGTTTTACATAACGTGTACTATATGTTATAACATGCGCGTAAAAGTTTTCTCCAAGTGTCTGAACATTTCGGGCGAAGCTTTACGTGTTGTTTCGTCATTACAGAAACGTGGAACGAATGATTTATAAAGATTGTGGAGTAAATGACACGCTTGCAGAGGGAGGAAATTATCAATTAATCGAAGCTATTTATTCGTGCAATTTGATAGGAGAAGCGCACACGCAGCTCTTAATTTTTTCACGCTAGAACCACCAAAGTAGCCAAAATGACTAATTTATTTCATTTTTGTTAGACATTTTAATTTTTATAGATCTAAATAATTTTTCGTACAAACATACAAATAAAAGCTTATAAAGTTTCTCTCCATTTCTTTAATCGAAGCTATTTATTCGTGCAACTTGATAGGAGAAGCACACACGCAGCTCTTAATTTTTTCACGCTAGAACCACCAAAGTAGCCAAAATGACTAATTTATTTCATTTTTGTTAGATATTTTAATTTTTATAGATCTAAATAATTTTT